AAGAGTGGTCAGACACTGGAACAGACTGCCTAGGGAGGTGGTTGAGTCGCCATCCCTGGATGTGTTCAAGTGTTGTTTAGATGGGTTGTTGGGTGATATGGTTTAGGGGTGAACTTGTAGTGTAGGGTTAATGGTTGGACTCGATGATCCTAGGGGTCTTTTCCAACCTGAATTGTTCTATGATTCTATGATTCTATAAAATTTGATTCATTTTCAGTCTGAGGGCATATTCACAAAGTTGATTTTAAGGTTTTTGCTGCAATAAAAAGCACACTGTGCAAATCAACCTTTCCTACAGAAAAAGAGAGTAACGTTATGATGCTTTCTCAGTTGAATGATTGAATGTCTTGTTTCTGGCTGTAGTCTGGACGTTATTAAAGGAAAAGCAGATGTTTGAACACATCAGTGCTTCTATTTCACAGCCAAAGCAAGTTAAGTAAAGACTTTAGGAAAGCTAGCTTGACGCCTCTGCTTTTGGAGCTGTGGCACTGCCTGGAGTAAGAAAATATCTAATAGCTGTGCAGTCTACACAATGAAATTTTGATATCAAAGGAGCCAAGCAGAATTTGTCCTCTTCAGGGCACCTCACATCTGCTTTTTTCCACACAGTAGATCTGTCTCCTGTAAATTGCCCTTTGAAAGTTTCAAAACAAACAAACAAAAAAAACAGATTCAGATGGAAAATATTTTTTATTGATCAGCTTCTTGTTCCAGACCCTTGTTCCCCACCCATATTCCTGATCCCACATGAGCAATTCCACATGGTTTCAGGATTTGCCATTAACCATCTTTTAGTTGACTTATTTCCTTGTTGCACAACAGGAAGTAAGGATGTGTGACAGGAGTACTCAGTGAAATTAAGGCCAAATGTTTGATAATCAGTACAGTGTGTAACATTATTCTCAACAATTGAGAATGAATACTGATATAATGGAAAAAAAATACTTCAGTTCTTTCCACTGCACTGTTTCCTTCTAGGCTGGACAGTTTTAAATGTCAGTTTTAAATAGTTATCAAACCCAAGACATGTACCTCCTCAGTCAAATAGAAAGTTATCTCGAAGCCAAATACAAATGCAAGCACAGAAAGCAGTTTAAGGAATATAGTCTGTCATGGTGAGATCATCAGAATGGCATCAGAAAACAAAGGAAATTATAAAGAAGAATAATATAACAAAGCTGAGAAAACTTCCTCCATTCTTCATTTCTCAAAAACTTTTACTTTCCGGTTTAGAAGCAAAGGTTACAAATAAGGAGATGTCAAACACTTGTTCTATGGGTACACAAGGTACTACGAAAGTACTCATTTATAGCATATTGTATATAAAATATTAAGGTAGAAGGAAAATGTAAACCTGATTCTCTAAGCGATCTAAGATGTTCTTTGTTTTGAAATACTGGGAAATAAGGAATCATAGTCCAGCTTCTTTTGGACATATTAGAATAGGCTTAACTTGATAAATTCTTCACTCATGAAAATAATCTCACAGCAATTAGTAGACACAACTAACATGAGAGATGACCAGTTGGGCAAGGTTTGCAAGTTACACCAAAGTAGAACTTGATGTTGAGAAGATACCAAGGACCTTGAAAATATGTTGTTAAATTCAATGCAAGGAATGGACACTCTTCACTCTAGGGGAAAAACAGAAGAGAAAAGAAGATTGGCTTTTTTTTCCCTCTGAAGTGTGAGAGAGCTCACTGCATTCATATCTAGCTGGAGTTAAATAACAAATGTAACCATTTGTCTACAGCTTGTGGATTTTTTGACTGTCAGAGTCCAAAGAGCACTCATATGAATGAACAAGACCAGGACATTTTATTCTAAATAGCGTCTTCTGAGAAGGGAAGAACCAAAGACTGCCTCAAAGCAAAGGTGGTAGCTCCTTCTCAACTGCATGACATAACATCTGCAAGGTTGCATCTTCTTCCCGTCTTTGAACATGGGCTTTTCAGAACATCTCTACTCTCTCTGAAGTTCTAGGTTGCCCTAGAAAAGGGTATTATTAATGGAGGAGGATTTTTAAGAGCTCAGGATCTATCATATCATATATCCATGGGCTACATTAATTACTGATTTGTCTACAGCCTAGGAATACATGTTTTGTAAAGGGCTGTAGGAATGAAAAGAAGCACTGGAACAGCTGAGCAGACATATCTAACGAGTGGAAGCACAGAGGGGACTGATCTGCCTGCAAATGTCAGGGAGAATGCAGGGGGCAGGGGCTAATAATGCAAATGTCATGGTCAGCAAGTCTGAGATTGTTCCAGGACTCCTGAAAATCACCTTAATATTTTAAAAACTTCTCATTTCCACTGGTTATTTGTCTGTCTTTGTCTACTCTCTTCAGCAGAGAAGCAGCTCCCTCCAACACCACACTGCACCATGGTGCAACAGCAAGCGAGCAAGAGGAGAGGAGCAAGAGATGTCTCCAGTGGGGACAAGGAAAGAGAAGACAGGGGAACCTGATATTTCTGCTGGCTAGTAGAAAATTCACTCAGGCAGTGCTCTGTTCTTTAGAGAGGCCAGTGATATGTTTTCAGGATTAACAACTCTTATCGACTCTCAGAAATGTTTTAAACTCTACATTGGATGGGTACCTGTGTGTCATGGCCTTTGCTGGGTTTCCATCACTGTATGTCTGACCACGAAAACCTGAAGAAACAAGTTCAAATGTAGGTTGCCATTTTGTTTTCATTATGATTCACATATTCAGTCTCACATTAACTCATTTGGGTAATTGTTTCACTCAGACTAGATAAGTTTCTTCTTTAATAGGTGAAATAATGTCTCAGAATGTTTGGCTACATTAAACAGAATCCAGGAAAGTAGTCAAAGGAAAAATAAAATTTAAAAAGAACAAAGTTTTGTCTCTGAGTCAGTGCAAAAAAAAAAAAAAGTCCATTTCCATTCTCTGTAGAATAAATAAGGCTAAGCTGTTCTAACTCCAAAGCAGAGCTACTGATGTAATGCATTGCACTATACCGATGCATTGCGCTATTGCTGATGTAACACATTGCACTATAATGCATTCTATATGGCCAAAAAGTATTCTTGCAGCTGGAAAGAGAGTAACTTTCATGATGGTCACCTACCCTGATTTACTTGTTTTTTTTATGCATTCTATATGGCCAAAAAGTATTCTTGCAGCTGGAAAGAGAGTAACTTTCATGATGGTCACCTACCCTTTACTTGTTTTTTTATAATAGATACTGTTATCACTGGAACCTTGATTTTGAGTAACAAAATACATGTTAGTAACATTCTCCCTCTTTTTGGACACACTGTCGCCACTTGGCATCTTTAACAGTGATACTTAACAATGTAAATTTCTGTTCTACAAAGACCTAAGCAGTAAATATTTTCACTATTTTCACTCTGCCATCATAAGACTATTTGTCATTTACTTTGACATTTTGTATAATCCAAATTGTCACAAACTATGGACAAATCTTAGGTTTAATATTCCCTTCACCCTTTATGTGGATTGTTTTTCTTAACATTTTAGGTCCAAACACAATAGCATCCCCATGTAAGACTTATCACCCCCAGTGTCATGGTATTTAAGAGGTTTTCATCATCTCCTGATTTAAAAACGCTAATGCTTGAGAAAATATCTTTGTTATAGGAAAGAAGCATTTAAGAATTCAAAAGTCCTTAAGAGTAATGCTATTGCTGTTACATTAAAACTCCTACACGTGACAAGCAGTTGATGGCTCCTCACAAGTCATTGAGAACATAAGAATTACAGCAATGAGTCAGACCCACCTCATTCAGCATCCTGTCTTGGACACTGAATTTTAAAATCTGCCTCTGAGAGGGATTTTGGCAACCCCTTCCTGGTCAACTGACAGAGATGGAATTACAAACCGCTAATGTGGACAACGTTATCCAAAAAATTATAAAGTGTGTCAGAATCCATGAAGCACGAGGTTAATATCCTCTATGCAACATAGTTATCACATATTACAGTCCTGCTAGTCTTGATACGCACAGAGTTTCTCTTCTTTTTTTCTGAATCTCCACAAATTCTTGATTGGAACAAAGACTCATGACAAAAAGTTACACATTTTAATCAAATACTGTGCCTAAAAAGTTCTCCAGTCATTTTTCACTTAACACATGGACCCATTCTCTCATGCTGTAAGGTAAAGGGGAATTCCCAGACTGCCATCTCTGGAGTCGTTCATTATTATACAGGCTTTCATTGTACCCTTCACATTTATTAAAAGGAAAATATGAATAAGGAAGATGCATTCAGACTACATGAATCACAACACTCTGATTAGTTAATTGATTCACCTTGAGTGGGCTTGTCAGGAGTTTTTAAGTGGAGGAGAAACCTAAACTAGGATTACGCAAGTGCTCGCACAGAGAGCTATATTTGGATGCCAAATTCAACCCCCTCCTTTTTAGTATCAGGCTTCCAAGTCTGAAGCTATAGTTAACTGACAGGTATTTTTAGACGACAGAAAATCTGTCAGAAGAATCACTATGTTTACAGTGAACTGGGAGGGGAAGTAGTTTGCTTGGGTGGTTTTGGGGAGATGCTTTTGACAGTGCTCAGATTGAGCCTTCTCTCATCTTGACTCATTTTAGACTTTCCAGTTCCACTCTGGCACTCTTCACCATAAACTCCCCCAGCCTTACTTTCCTCTGAACTCATTAACTTCTACAAGGCCTGAGTTTCAGAGCTTGGAGATTTCAGAATATTCTGACTCCATGAGCATATCTGAATGTGCCTAAAGTCATAATAATATCCTCACTGTCCTCCTGCAGTAGAGGGAAGTACTCGTGTCCCATTTGCAGCAGGGCTGTGCTGCAATCGCTACAGCGACAGCGCTCTGCGCCTGCCCGCCAAGAATTGTATTTAATGAGCTACCTCATGCACCAACAGCAAGGTGAGCAGAGGTGTGGCATGCAGAACTTGGCAGGGGATGGAAAATTCACCCAGGAAGCAAAGAAAACAGCCAGCCACACAAGTTGTCCTCGCAGTAGCTAATTAAAGCTAGCTGAGGTACACGAGCCTGTCGTCTGTAAGGGAAGGCGAGCATATCCAGCTCCCACGCACTCATCCACATGCACCTCAGCTTCCCAGTGAAAACACACTTCACCCGAGACACTCTCTTCTGTACAGTTGAGACCTAATTCTTTGTTATCATTCATACTTACCACAGTGGATATCACAGATCTGCAGTGGAACTGAATAATCTACATCTGTCCTCCAGCCCTTTTAAAAAAAAAAAATTGAGTCTTATTCCCCTTTCAGCAGAACTGTTACTAAACACTTATGTTAACAAAATGACACTGCTTTATTCGTTTACTCAAGTGACTGCATTTTTTAATCTGTTTTTAAATAAATTATATGGAGACTGCTGGTCTAGTGTATATTCAAGTGAGTTGTTTTTTCACTTTCACGTTTCTAAATCCTAAAGCGAATTAGATTTATTTTTTGGGGGGTGAGAGAGAGATTTTTTAATCTGTTTTTAAATAAATTATATGGAGACTGCTGGTCTAGTGTATATTCAAGTGAGTTGTTTTTTCACTTTCACGTTTCTAAATGCTAAAGCGAATTAGATTTTTGGGGGGGCGAGAGAGAGAACTGTAGTCTGAAAGATATTATCTTATTCACAATAAATTATTTATGCAAGAAAACATTCATTTAACCACCAAATTTCATTTTTTGCTAGGGAAAGGAGAAAAACTTTCAATACCCAGAAGGCTCTTGCCAATCTTTAACCACCAAATTTCATTTTTTGCTAGGGATAGGAGAAAAACTTTCAATACCCAGAGGCTCTTGCCAATCTCACTTTCATCTTGCCCCTTCCTTCCTGGCAGCAGAAAGTGAAGGTAACAAGACCCTTCCAGAGCAGCTGCTGGAGCCTCACAGCTCCAGCTGTCAGTCTCTCTTGTCCTGGTGTCTGCTGAGAACGCTCACTCCAGAGAGGAATAAACCTATCAGCTTCATGCTTATTTTCTATTAGTGTCATCTTAATACAGTTCAGCTACAGAAATAATGTGCAAAAATGTCAGAAATAATTTGCTTAGCTCTGCTTTCAAAAGGGCTAATTCTAGCATACTATGCACTTCCCATGCTGTTTGCTATATGCCTAACCTTTTTGAGCTAATGTCAATTTTTTTAAAAAATCATCTATGATGTGCTTGGATCTTTTGACACCTTGGAACATTTCATTACAAAGGAGCATACAAAGACAGGATTAGTGATTTCCTGATGATAGCCCTTTACCTGTCACTGACAAAGGAGAAAAATCATGGAGAGCAACTTCTCTGTTAATTAATGTCATCCCAACAAGAGGCAGCACATCTAGCTATAAATAATGCTCTTTGCCAACTCCTTTCACCCAGTAATCACATTTGGCTGGGGGGAGAAAACAGCAAAAGTGTCTGCTGGTTTTCTTTTTTTTTTTCTCTTTTTTTTTTATTTGTTTATTTTGCACAGAGTACCCAGCAAAATCAAGACACATACCTGAATGCAAATTGTTGACTCACACATTTCCTGTGACATAGTGATTGATACAGAATCTCCCTAATGAAAAGAAAAAAATCGAAAACTCTTATTTTCGATACCCTGGAACAATGAAAATGTATTGTGTCTCTCTCCAGCTCTTTGGTTCATTTGCCAACAATACAACATAATAAAATATATATTAGGGAAGGTTATTTATTTTCAGAGATATCTGTGCATCTCAATAGCCATAAGCAGCTGGTGTAGTTTTACCAGGTGCAATTTGGGCAGCGCAGGAAGAGGGCTAATGTTCATGCATTTTATGAAGCATCATAAGGCAGGACAGCCTGCCTGCCATGGCTGCTCACACCAGGTTAGCTAATGAGCATCTTCACTTCTTTTCCCTAGTGTTGAGTTGAAGGAATGAGCCTTTCTTTACAGTTTTTCTCAATTCCCCATCACATTGTGTGCTGAGAACAAGTTCAGCCTCAGGGTAAAATTGTCCTAAATGACTGTTCTGATACTTAACATTTGATTGATTATGGTTTGTCCTCAAAATAATGTTAGCTACTCTACTAACAGCTATGAATCCTACACTGCTCTCTTCAGTGTGGCAAACTCCTAAAGTAATTAGGGGCAAGTTAAGTGAATATGTTCTTCAAGCATGACTGGTTTTCAGGAACACAGAGCTAAGTCTTGAAAACTTTGTGCCTGCTCCTCATGGTGCTGAGGCAGTAATATATGTAATTCTTGTGGGCTCCCATTCTGTTATAGTAAAAGAGGACATGACAGCATTTTTAAATGCATCAGTGCCCTTCATGAAACACCTAACTGTGATTTATTGGTGCTCCACTGTTACCCTTCTCACTTAGGAATTCACACAAGGAACCTTTAAAACCAGAAGGTCTAAACTCCATAGATTTCATGTGAAATAAGCTAGCTGAAGGGAAGTGCCACTGTAAGTGTCAACTCTTCTACCGTACAGGTCTCTGCCAGTAATGCAGCCTTTTCCCAGATAACTTGCCCCATTAGAACAGACTCTTGATAGTGCCAGAATCATAGAATCATAGAATGGCCTAGGCTGGAAGGGACCTTAGAGATCATCTAGTCCAACCTCCCTGTTTTGGGCAGGGACGCCACCTCTCGACTAGACCAGGCCCCCTAATATGCCCTCTGTGGCCTGTGTTGATTAGGACAGCTGGGTTTTTTTCCCCAGGATTTTCCCCACAGCTATTCAGCTCTGGGAACTCCTGCAGGAGCAGTTGTCATGTTCCACTTAAGCATGCCCTCAGTTTGAGCAGCAAAACTGAGCTGGAAAACTCTGCTTTTAACAGCTGCTCTAGTACATTGAGTACAAGTGATGTAATAAAGACATAAGCTGATTAATTAGAAAATAAATTCAGCTTTCAGCGTCCACACCTTCAAGTTTAAGAAGTCCTTATTGATATCTGCCTGATATCAGCTACCCCCTGGTATGCACACCCTGCACACTGAAAGCCTCAGAGGTACTTGAAAAAGTGTCTGCATACAGTGGCAAATAAAGAAGTAGAGCTGGAATATATCCTAAAAAGCGGACAGCTGTAGTAGCTGAAGCATGCTTTGTCTTCTAAAGCATATCCCCCTACAGCAAAATCAATGGGCACAGTAGGAATTGCAAGATCTGAATTCCTCAGCTTTCTCAAAATCCACCATAGGACACCTCATGTACTTGGTCAGTGGAGCAGCAAGCAGGAGCACACATTTAGGGGTGAACATAAGACTGCTGAGGGGCTGGCTGCTGAACAAGCAGGGTGCTTTTCAGCATGCTAATCCTAGTAGCTCCTAGGACCTGCCCTGCTACATTGTCCTATTTGAAAAATAATGCTATGGTCATTCTTCTGCTCTTTGATCCCACCTCTCAGTAGATCACAGCTCAGTCCAACAAGGGAACTCTGGTAGGCAGGGCTGAAGGACAAAGGCAAGCCACAGTGCTGCACTGAGAGTGCATGGCATGTAGACTTAGTTGCAAGAGAAGAATGGGGTTCCCTTTTCATAACTAGCTGCTGCCTGAAACAGAAATCACACCCTCCCATAATCTTTTTCCTCTCTCCCCTCCTTTTCTGGAAGAAGTGGTTGTGCAGTCACAGAGTCAGCCATCTCAAAAAGCTAATTTGGCTGAAAGTTTACTTTTTTGTGTGTTGAGTTTGTTCTGGCAGCTGCAAGAAAAAATGTGGCTCAAGATCATCATGGATTTATGCCTCAAGTCTGACATTTTATGACATGAGATTTGCCAGGTCAGCAGCATCACAGTGACCCATATATGAAACACTAACACTAACATTTCCTATATACATAATAGAAACACTACACCACAGAAATAATGCTAAAAGAATATTAAGGTTCTACTCAATAGTCACTTCCTTTGATGTGACTCATTTGACCTCAGGATCCTTATTTATTTCTCACTTCAGTGTGAGATCAGAATTAGAACTACATGCTTTAAAAATGTACCAGTAATTGTTCCAGTATGTACATGCATGAGTTTATTAATGCTTTCAAGCTGCAGAGTGATAAATGGAATAATAACTGAATGCAGTTAGATATGTTTAAAAGTCTTACAATGTTTAAGAAACAATATTGACATACCAGAGATACTGAATGGTGTATCCCAACAGATTCACATGAGGCCAGCTGCGTCCTGTTACAAACAAGCACTGAAAACTGTGCCTTGGTTTGGGATGTGAAGAAAACTTGTATTCGTTCTGCAGCTGCAGCAGTTCTCATTTTCCAAGCTGATGTGAGGGGAAAAAAACTTACTTTTAGATGTACAGGGACCATATATTATATTCTAAATGGTCATTTTTAAAATAAATGTCTTTTAAATAGATAAGTGCCATCAAATGACAGACAAATAATTATTTTTATTCCCACAACTTAAGTTTTATACTGGTAAACACTTGATCTACTGGGGAAACTTAGAAGTAGCAAGCTGACAAATCTCTGCCATAAATTACAAGATATGGTGATGTAAACACATCTCACTTACTGAAGATGGCTCATATCTGGTGACGGATTGAAGTATTTTTCACAATTTAACATTATGTAATTAAAAATATATTTACCTGGAAATTCTCCATGAGCAAATGGACATTTAACCCAAGAGCCTTGCTTGGTTGTAAACTGAAAGCAGAGAAATCAATTAGGAAAACTGATTTTTCAGTTTCAGTCTGTGGCTACAGAATCAACTAGAGATGATCAGTGCATTCCAGAAAGTTGCACAAGGTGAATTCACAGCTTTCCTGGTCTATGGTCTCTTCCAAACCTTGATTTCAATTAGAAACCGCAATTCCTCATGTATTTATGCACATGTTTATATACAGAAATATGCATTTCTACTGACTTAAATGTATTCTAAAAGAAAACAAAAGATATGTCCATAATAACCTTATGTGCCATTCCTTTCTCAACTACAGTGAAAGGTACTCCAGTAAATACTATGTGTTCATTATTTTTATTACCGAATATTTAATATGAAAAATGAATTATTTAATATGAAATATGAACTTTAGTGCATGCTTCAATCAGTTTTTGCATTGACCTAAACCATTTTTCCCTGCTTTTCTCAAGCAGAGAAAACAGAGGGCACAATGTGACCTGTGCTCTATCTATCATTGCTGCAGCATGTCCAAAGAACCTCTTTTTAATCTGTCATATTTTGTTCATCTTACTTCCCATTCATCAGAGCTGTGAAACAAAATATTGATCCTAAAGAACATTAGCAACTCATATTCTTAGGGCTGTCAGAAAGAGGGCAGTTAATTGGTGTTTTACTAAGAAATTTACCTTCATGCAAAGTCTTGGGTGGGTGTCCACACGAGAATATTTAACCTGCTTGAAAAGAGAGCACAGAGCATTAGTTAGTCTCATTAACTAGTTTCACAGTCAGTTACCCAAAATTTTCATGGTTTGATTACTGAGAAAGGAACTGGTTTGATTACTTTATAAATATCCCAGGAAGTTAATCATATAAAACGGTGTGAACAGAAACAACGGCTACTTTGAATTACTGCATAATTTGCCTCATTTTATCTGTAACGTGTAGCATTTTTTATAGCAGTTCAATCCATTAGAGTTAAATTATTTGATTCTATGGTAGCTCACCTGCAGATTTCTGATTACACAGTCATCTTGTTTCAGTCTCTTATTTACCATTCATCAACAACTCAGCAGAACATTTAAACATATATCCCAAAGTGTTGTTCCACCTTCAGTTGAGAAATTTTTCAATTTTTCATATCCCTACTCCAGAAAAGACTTAAACATAGGCTAAATTGCAGTTATCCACTTAAGTGATGTACAAAATGCCGCTTACTTGGTTAACAACTATTTACCCTCCAAGGGCTTCACCATAAAAAAGCTTTGTCTCCTATAAACAATTACAACCCATGAAAGCGATCGTACTTAAACACCGTTGCTCAAGTGATTCAGCACAATGTACCCCACACACAACACATGGCATCATGACGAAAGCAACACCTCTTTCCTGTAATTTTTTTGAGAAGGTCATGATGGGTGCCCTCGGGTATGTCTACAGTAGTGCCACCAAATAGAGTTCTGGAAGAGTCCACTTCGATACGGCAACAGCATTGCCATTGATAATAACAATGAGAAAGCCCCACCCTAACTAAAGAGAAGAGTTATGTAGCTTTTGGGGCCTAAGCTGGTACATGTGCGCGGTGGCAGAGCACACAGCACTATGGGCTTTTACTGGGGGAGCTGGCGCTATGGGTGGAACCTCTGCAGTAGTCTCCAGCACACTACAGAGGGTTACCAGATTCAATAGCAAACCTTTTAGGATGATTTAGAAAAGAAAGGGAAAAATTCATCCTGTCCATGATTATTAATAAATGCAGGAAAGCGTCCATCATCTGTAATAAACTAATCTTGGATTGTGTTCTCGGTAATAGATATATGATCGTTACCAGCCGAACCTCATTTTAGGCTTCTTTATTTTTCTTTCTTTTCTTTTTCTTTCCTGCAAGCAATGAATTGTGCTTGTTGTCAGCAGATGATGAATCCCTCAGGGACCACTCATATGTAAACATATTTGGTTTTCCAATATCAAAGCTTTGTTGAAACCCATAAAATGGTGATTCTGAACAATCACTAAACACTTGGCCAGGAGTTCCTAAACAAAAAAGCATTCATCAGCCGTGAGTCAGCACCTCCCAAATCATGTCAGCAGAATAATACTCCTAAAGTTTCAAAAAATAAGAATTTGCATATGATTTTATTTGCCTTTTCAGTTGTTATCTCGAGTTTACTGGCTTCTCTCCACAGTCAGGAAAGTCTAAAACCTGTTTTCCAAGATGAAAGCCAGAATTCTAACCAACCTCATTAAAAAAGTCTCCTTCAGCATCATGAGATTTTAGGTTGAAGTATTAAACGTTTCCAGATACATGCTGTATAAACTCTTTTCAACTTTAGAACGTTAAGTGTTGGAAGAACACTAAAGGAAAAATACTTAGGAACCCAGTATTTCAACATTCACAACTTCAAGACATTGGAGGAAGGTACTTCAAAGAGGTCCGAGCAGAGTACAAAAGAATCATGGCCTACCAGGGTACGATTATGTCTCTAGTAAGATTTAAAGAGTTTTAGCTTCATCTCTAGCTTCATCTAAATGTTAAATATCCAAATGCGATCTAATCACAATGGACTTATCTAATCGCAATGACTTCATCGCTCTCTACAACTACTTGAAAAGAGGTTGTAGCGAGGCGGGGGTTAGTCTGTTCTCCCTAGTGATGAGTGATAGGGCAAGGGGAAATGTCCTTAAGTTGCACCAGGGGAGATTCAGGTTGGATATTGGGAAGAATTTCTTTACTGAAAGGGTTGTCAGGCATTGGAACAGCCTGCCCAGGGATGTGGTGGAGTCACCATCCCTGCAGGTGTTGAAGAGACAGGTAGATGTTGTGCTGAGAGACGTGGCTTAGTGGCGTTGATAGGGCTAGGACAGAGGCTGGACTCCAACGTCTCTTGGTTGGACTCTAACCTCTCTTTGATCTCTTCCAACCAAAACTGTTCTATGTTTCTATGACTTTTTTCATAGTCAGTGAATAGAATGTTATATTCACAGAGAAACCCTCCTGACCTTTCTTATATGCCTATCTCCAGAAGAGAAGAGTTGTCCTCTCAACACGTTTCATTTGCTTGCTTTAAAGGGAATCTGAGATGAATAGCCTTTTAGACAGCAAAGTCAGGGCAGATGAATCATGCCTTTACTATAAATGAAAAGCAGACCCTATTTACATCAAAGAATTTAGCAAACATTACTGGCTTCACAGTCATCTCTACTTCTTATTTCTTAATAGTGAGTCAGTCAATATGGACTCTTTGAATAAGCTGTGTGGTTAGCGTACAAGACCAGGCTGTGATTACGAGTGGTTTTAAGTATCACAGAAAAGAGTAATTCGCAACTGCTCTTATTCAAAGTCTTCACATTATGCCTTTGGTCATGGGCTTCAGTCTCAGTTTGAATAAATCTGCGTAGCTCTTACTTTCTCAGGAGAATTTTTTGAAGAGTTCGGTATATCTTCACAGTGGTCGTTAGACTTCATTAACCTGCATAGGTTAACCATGACAAGCACAGGACAGGCTGGCTCCCAAGCTATGGTTTGTGTCGCTGGGCTGTAAACAATATTATCCCACAGCACCTTTGTATCTGTGAACAAAGAGTGGAAACGTTATTCAAGATGTCTAAAAATGAATCAAAATTGTTCATAATCTGGTACCGACATGTGCATAAAACCAAAAGCATTGTTTTTCCATTTCTTTGTCATTTCCACCATCATCAGAACTGCAGCATTTCACACTGTAACAGCGTAAAATTTGAATTCATCCCACCAAAGTGTTGGCATTTATCAGAGGTACTTAACTGTCTTACCAGTTTCCTAGAATGGTGACAGAGAGGTGTCACCATGGGATGCACAGGAGGCATATTCGGTGCCCATCAATCAAAGGTGGAGTGTAATGCAAGTAAATCCTTAACCAAGGACCTTCAGTTAACTGTATATGGTAAACTGAAATAAGTCCATACAGTAGGAAAAATTTATTCACTGAAAGAATAGTGAGGCATTGGAACAGGCTGCCCAGGGAGGTGGTGGAGTCACCATCCCTGGAGGTGTTCAAAAAACACGTAGGCATGGCACTTCAGGAAATGGTTTAGTAGTCACAGTAGTGTTGGGTTGATGGTTGATCTTGCTGATCTTAGAGAGCTTTTCCAACCTTAATGATTCTATGATTCTGTGATAGCATAACAACAAGTCCTATTATTATTGCTTTTCTTGGAAATATCCTGAAATAAAACCTTTTCATATTTTCTAATGGAATCATAGAATGTTAGGGGTTGGAAGGGACCTCAAAAGATCATCTAGTCCAACCTCCCTGCCAGAGCAGGATCACCTAGGGCAGCCACACAGGAACGCATCCAGGCGGGTTTTGAATGTCTCCAGAGAAGGAGACTCCGCAACCTCTCTGGGCAGCCTGTGCCAGTGCTCTTGTCACCCTCACAGTAAAGAAATTTCTCCTCATGTTGAGGTGGAATTTCCTATGTTCTGACTTAAACCCATTAACAGACACCTTCTAGATCCTTTAATTGTACCAAGCCTCTTGCTGTCTTAACTTTGTATCTTAATGCATATATATCAAAATATCAAAATTTTCTATGAAGCGGAAAATTTTATTCTGTTTTTTAAAAAACACTGGAAAATTTTATTCTTTTTTAGAAGTCGTTTTTTTTTAAATAAATGGGCATGTATTATAAACCTAACGTTTAGAGAATATTTAACCTGACTGCAAAGTCTTGGGTCCAAACGGTTCTGACATTTTTCACGGCTATATTTTGAATGTTATAGGAGTCTGTAATAGTGTAGATATAATCCAAGTGTAATCCTAATAGTTAAGACAACAGCAGCACAATAAGACTTCAGCTTTGCTTCCAGGCCTGCTTATTGCCTTATTACCTCACTTTTCTTCTGTTTTACTCTTTTGCGGCATTTACTCATTTAAATCATAATAAAGATGCTCATTCATCTTCAGTCTCGTATAATTACATTGTTTTTTCTTCTCTTAGTTACATTAACCCAGAAGAGTTATTACAAAGAGAAGCTTCTGATACACAACTGTTAATTATTTTCTACTACAGAACTAAATCTAAAATCCCAACTTCATTACATCAATCAGAAATGAGCCAAAAAAAAAGAACCAATCTGTTCTAGACATTCCAGCAAACAGAACTGACAGTTAGGAAAAAGGAAAGATTTTAAAAGAAAAAAATGTCTGAAATGCTGGAACTCCTTATATACTTAAACAGCTGAGTGCAATTTTTTAGTTGTCCATTGGAACTTCCTAAATGGACAGAAACAAGCATTAAGAGTTTCAGCATGCTAAAGCACGTCCTGCCTTTCCTCTGACTACGTAAAGCTGGGTAACTCACACTTCACCTGTCCCCACAGTCCTGATCTGATGGCATCAGAGGGGAGAATGACTGCAGCAGGAGGGAAAGGAGAAGCAGCAGAATACAGAAGGAAGAAATCACAGCATTCGCGAACCCAATTTTCTGCACTTGTAAAGCATATAGAGCTACGGTGATGATTAAGGGACTTGAACATGTCTCCTATGAAGATAGGCTGAGAGAAGTGGGGCTGTTTAGTCTTGAAAAGAGAAGGCTGAGACGGCATCCTATTAATGTATACAAATATATGAGGAGTGGATGTCAAGAGGGAGGTGACAGTAATAGGACAAGGAATAATGGGTATAAGCTAGAAAATAGGAAGTTTCACCTCAACACAAGGAGAAATTTCTTTACTGTGAGGGTGACGGAGCACTGGCACAGGCTGCCTAGAGAGGTTGTGGAGTCTCCTTCTCTGTAGATTTTCAAAACCTGCCTGGATGTGTTCCTGTGTGACCAGCCCTAGGGGATCCTGCTCTAGCAGGGAAGTTGGACTAGATGATCTCTAGAGGTTCCTTCCAACCCGTAACATTCTATGATTCTATGATTCTATGTCTCTATCATTCTATCATTCTGTGATTCTATCATTCTATCATTCTATATCCATCCCAAGCACAGGAAATAGGTAGAGGTAGGAGAAAACCTGTAAGGAAACTACCTGTGTCCCACGAGACCCAGCCTTGGGCTGAATTAAGGTACTAAGAATAGAAGTTAGTACTTCTTATTGCAGATGGCCAACAGGCTTTGTTTTGATGACCTTGAAGCCAGATCTGCCTACATGGCATAGACAGAGCTACAGACAGAGCTTAAACATTCTTCTAAGTGCTCTCTGTTGCATAAATAGAGGGAAAATAAAAATCCCTTTTTATTTAGTCTAACTGCACTCCACTGCCACAAAGGAATGGTAATGTCACAAACACTACATTCTGCCACAATATAATAAATCATAAATGAAGGCTGGGCTAACTAAAGAGGAAATTGCTTCCAGTTTAACACAAATGTCTTAGCCCTGCCAGAACATGGAAGGACTGCAGTGAATGTCTATGCAGTTTAGTGGTGTTTGGAAGTGCTGTTAAGGGTTGGTGTTTTTATTCTCTCATGTTTTTTTACTATTTTTTTTAATCAAATGCTAAAGTCCCTTAATGGGCTTCTGAGCATAGTCTGGGGGAAAATACTGTTGCATTTATTTTGGACTGAAAACACTTTTTCAGGCTACACTTTTTTTCTATCTGCCTGGTAAAACTTTCACTAAAGACCTATATAATATGACAATTTCTTCTTCAGCTGTCATCTCAAATCAAACTCTGGTGGAACATTTTGTGTGAATAATTTCCCATTAAGTATGAGAACTCCCACATGCAGTTAACTGTCTTCTTTTTCAACTCCTTGTTCCCTCCTTTAAACAGGGTGTCAGACACCTTCTTCAACTCTCTCCTCAAAGGCCTCTTCTCACACCAGCATTTCAAAGCTGACCTCAGTGGCTTTTTGTCCTTCTGGTCCATTTGCGTGTGATTTAAGAAAATGTGGGAAATGACTAGACAGTTACTTAGTGCTTATATTGGCATAAACTCGGTGAACAATTTGCTCTGTAAGTAAGTTATTTTGTTTACCCACAATATAACAAACCAATGTGACGATTTCCTTGAAGTGTTGCAGTGTGTGGTTTTCACCTTAGCTGAATTTCAAATTGTAACATACTGCTGGAGATGCCAAAAATCACTCATAAAGAGTAATCACACAGTACTTGCCATTTTCAAAGGGGCAAAGTTGTATCCTCCTTGCATCTGGAATTGCCAGCCAACCCTATAACCCAAAATGTGGACATTAGCTAGAGATTCTCAGATACACCCTTTATTAATATTTCAGACAGAACGTGATAGAAAATCTTTCCACCACAGATAATGATGCTATGTTTAATAGAACGCTTTGGAAGTAGTATTTTAAAGGATATTTTGCGTTATACAGCTATTTTATTGTTTAGCATTAGAGGGACTGGAACTGATGAACTAAGGTGATCCTTTCTAATACTATATACCTACTGTTTCCGAGTCATATATTTAGCCCAATTTCATTGAGAAAGTCTTCCAGTTTGATCTGCATGAAGTTTCTTACAGTGTCATTACTTCCTAGGGGTATCAAGACGTCTAAGAATCATAATATCAGATCTCCTGGCCTTTGTAACGGTGAAGGATGTATCCTTAAAATCTGAGGACTAACACTTAACCCAACCCACAAGTATATGTACATGACTGTTATTACACCCTAATTATTCAGATTCATGTTCAAATGTTTCTATTACTCACAGTTCCCTTCTGTTTGCACACTTTACTTTGTGGAATTCTCTGTGTATGTGCAGAGAGCATTAATATCTTTCCAGTGATCTCATACTTTTCAGAGCAGAATAAAAGAAAAATCTCTGGATTTGGAAGAGACCTTGAGGTTCAACTCACATATCAAGGTACGTCACATGCCTGAGTGTGACTAAAGTACCCAAATTACTGTTGCAGTAGCCACATGAAGATCTGGCCCGTGCAGCCAATGCTATCCAGCACATCCCAGAGTAGCCTTTTACATTTGGTCAGTTGAGTAACTGACTGCGTTAACTAGATCTCCATTGACTATAAGATGTTGGATATCTAATTCAAATGTAGGTATCTACATCTGGATATCTACATTTAGGTATCTTAATTCGCAAGGTAAATCTTACCCCAAAATTCAGTAAGAAAATAAGTTAACATCATATCTTTGTATCTCAGAAAGACAATCTTTAAGTGGTTGTTTGATTTTATAGTCCTTTTTATGAAAGTTATTCCAAAATCTCACTTTTCAGATTGTCAGGAAAAAAAAAATCTGGAGGTATCTGAAAAATACATTACTAACATGGAACTATCACATTCAGATCTTTTCTCCTCCACTGTTATTTCCAAATGTGGACTCACATCTTACAGCAGTTCTTCATGAACTTGCACTTTATACATTATACTTCATTCTCTTCTAGTCTCTTCTGATTATCCTGACTCTCTTCCATTCTGATTACATCTCTCAACTGTATTTTCAGCCAATCTCACTAATGGGTTCCCACCTTTTGTGTCCATGTCATTGATGAAAGTATTTACATAAGAACTGCTCTAAGTGTGGTCCTTAAATAACCTTCCTACTAGCACAGCTCCGTTCAACAGGAATAGTCAAGTTAGCCCTCCAGCTAGGTATAATCTACCCTACAAATCTTGTTCTCCCCCCCCCCCCCGCTTCCTCTATTTGTCTTTTAATTTTTCACGCAACGCTCTATCAAATGCTATGCTGGAATTCAGTCAGATTAAATTTTCTATCTTTTCACTGCTTATAAAAAATCAGTGCAATTAATCTTACACAATACTTTCCATAAATTAATATAAATTGTATCCCATTTTCTTCTTATCTCCGTGTTTTAATTAGTGTTTCCTAAAAAATCTCTTCTACATCTACATAATCATAAGGTCAGATAAGCCTTAGTCAAAAACTTAAGTTTAGAGACTTTTTCTACAGATTTTTCCTAGGACAAATTTTCTTAGCACAAACTCTAGATAAAATTTCTTTCATCAGAAACACAAGCATATATACCAAATTTGAGACTTTATTACCTCAATGCAAAGACAAGGGAGGGGCTGAGAATACTTTAGTGAAACTGATTTGAAAGATTCCTTTCCTTTTATCTGAAATGAAAAAGATGGTTATGAATCCAGGAGAGTAGATGACTTTTAGTAAAGCTAAATAAAAATAAAGAAGGAGATTTCCTAGAACTATGACCCCAAAGGGCATTTCCACATACAAGTCATCCTCCACCAGTTCAACAAACTGCTTTGAGGTTTAACTCACCACAGCAAATGCTCCTACATCTTCACAGGTAAACCATTTGTGGCACAGGCGAACATAATAATCTTGATCTCGAAGAGAGTTGGATACATTCACAGATATAATTTTCTTTGCCCTATCTACATTATAATCAAACTTTCCAGCTGAAAGAGAAAATTCAAGCATGAAATTGTCATATCTGTTTCTTTATTATCTTCTTATTTCTGATTTTGATGTTTCTTTATAAAGGGTACAGAATAGATTTCATACCTTGAAGGATATGAAATTCAACCTCTGTAGATTCTTACCTAGGATGTTTGAATTAATTCCTTTTATATCCTGATATTCCTAAAGGTATTCTTATTTTATGAGATATAATAATTTTCATAAGAATCCAATATTATTCAGTTTTAACTTAGCACTGCCAATACTGAGAGGCCAGGACACCTACCAGTTTTACCTTAACCTTAGTACGTGAAATGTAATGTAGTTCACGTACAAATACTTGAATTATACACACTAATACTGCTACAAAAGCTGGTAATCTCAAGGTTCCAGTTTCATTACTTAGAGAATATGTGCAACTGTGTTAGACAAATGTAGTACATAAAGGGATGTTCGGGTATGCCAAAATCAGGATAGCAGTTTGGCAAATTAATTTCAATCTCTTTACAAACAGACAATATATAATATAAAACCAGATCATATATAATACAAAATCAGTCATCCAAAGTGCATGGTAAGGACACAAGTCTATCTCCGAAAGTTTAAATAGGTTGTCAATATCTTTATCTACTATCTAGCATTTCCAAGAAACACATTTTCCTGGACACATTTTCTTATCAACTACATGGTAATTATAAGTAGTGGTAGTTGTAAATAATAATCTTTTCCCCTGCTTATTCAGCTATGAAAACATGTCATTATATAAGTCACCAGAAAAATCTCACAGCTTCAAGTTGTATAGGAGATCCGCTCACCCGAACATGCTGGAATATATTTTCCCACATCACTGTTTCTACAATCTGCAAAATAGAAGCGAGTTTCCTTCAGTGTTGCTTTATTTATACACCTGTGTAAATAAAGTGCCAAATTATCTAATAGCTTCTCAACAGGAAACCTATCTCTTAGACCTCATTTCAAAGGCAGATTTATATCCACTTCTAGGAGAATAGCAAAAAAGAAAAGCACCCTTACCACACACAGAGATTATTATCACAACTTGCCTTAAGGAGCTGTTTCACCAGTATGGGGTTTCTACTGGAAAACCTCATCAGCAGTTTAAGGTGGCAATCTAGGAGATGACACTACACTTCTTTACCTAGTACCTAACAACACTTTAAGTTGTTGTTGTTGTTATTATTATTTCCAATATTATTATTTCCAATATTATTATTTTCTTGACAACTACTCTTGTTTACCAGGCTTTCTTATAAACAATGCTGTATTTTTTCTGTTCTGACTTGACTGGGCTTACAAAGAAGCACTCTGTTTAGTTCCACGGGAGCTTACCAGAATTAGAGGCCAGGCGACACTTTCAGAACTCATATCTGATATTTGTATCTAATATTTAGATCTTGATTTAAGAACAGTAAATCGTCTCCTAATGTGCTGCCTGGTGTTTTCACCTCTCTCTGCTTCACTCACTATTAGAGCAGCACTTTGCTCTCATTTCCTCGCACAGCTCTTTTCTCCAGGGGCAGGAGTGGCTGGAGAGCGGCCGGCAGAGAGGGACCTGGGAGTGGTGGGAGACAACCGGCTGAACATGAGCCAGCAGTGT